ACACAAGGGCAATGTGCAAGCATGCATTTTACACACATCTGGTCCCTTGGGAATCCAGCTGGCCCATGGGGTTGCTTGGAAAGGACATGGTGATATGGAGATCCTGTAAATATGTGCTGGGCCATCTCTGTACAGCCTCACACTGGTCCTGAGCCAAAACTATTTGGTTTGGCCAGAGTCACAGAAAAGACCATCAGTGTCCAGTGCCCAGGGATGTTTGTTTCCTGGCACTGCTTTAAGTGATGAATATGGGTGCAGCTATTGTGCCTCAGCTGTGTCTGGATATAGGTAGGGGGGGGGGGGCACTGCAGAGAATAAATGAAGCAAAGAGGACTCTAGTGCATAAACATGAGCTCTAGGTGGATGCTGAATATTTTTTGTTGAACATTTGAGCCATGTGTTGATTTTTTAACTTGTTGCTTTTAGTTTCATGCTTACCAATCAGCTTTTTCTGTAAGGGGCAATTTGCAGTTTGCTCCCCAGAGAGGCTGCTTCCACTGGATTTGCTTTCTGGGATGTGATTGTGCTCCTGAGTGATGTGGAATATTCCTAATATTTCCCTGTGCCAGCCTTTACAATATGTGTATTTGTACATATATTATTATGGAAAAGGAGTTCTGTAGATAATTTTGTAAGTATCAGTAATACAACTTGCAAAAGCAATGTGCTTTGGCTAAAAAAAAAAAAAAATCCTAATAAAATGTTAATCTCAGGTATTTTTTTTTCTTTTTTTTCTGGAATTGCTCTGATTTTAAAAAACAGCATAATCTAAGTTAATTCATTAATATATACCCTTAAATCCAGCTAGAAATATAAACTAGTAATAAAAAAAAACCAACCTGAATTGATTGCAGCTAGGTGGAATGTTAATAACTCCTTCAGTATCCAGAAAAGGAAGAAATTAGAAAAATGACCATACAGCGCATGGCAGAAAAGTATGAAGAGTAGCAGTAAGTGTCAAACTAAAGCAACAATAACCAGCTGCAATATAACAGAATGTCAAGTGATGCAGCAAGTCTTCCTGATTAACTAGGCAGATTGCTAACTAGATTGTTAATTAGTGCAACCTTACGCACAGGCTCCTTCTCATGGAAGATCGTTCACAGCATTTTGTGCTGCGTAATTGTACTGAAGCTGTGAAAAGCAACAGGTGTTGAGTTTGGGTATGGTTGGCATATTAATTAGACCTGAGGAAAAAAAATCTTTAAAAACCACAGATGTTAAGCGTTTCGGTCCGAATAAGCTCCAGCAATAGTGCTTGAGCTGCATGTAAGGATAATTTATCACCATTGAATTCAAAATCCATGTGGCAGCAGAAGCTGCTTTTTTATAGGTCTTCATGGTCTTTTTTTTTTAATTTAATTTTAATATTTTCCTTGGCCATGGGCTGACAAGGGCTGGCTAACACTTTAATAGCAGTGCTGTTATATATCATGGTATCCATACTGAAATATTTGGATAGCTGAGATGCTCAGCAGTCAGTGGTTATCATTAGAACAGGCTTCAGTCCCTTAGATAGCTGGTAACAAGTAAATGTCTATGAATACAGGAGCAGAAAAAGAAAAGGGTTGGGCTAGAAAATGCATTCTTTTTTTCTTTTTTTCAATTTATTTTTTATTAAACTGTAAATAAATTTGAGTAAACTAAATTTATTTACATATATCATCCAAACTTAAGTACTGAAAAAACCTCCCCAAAATACTGAGGGCAGAAGTAAGGTATGTTTGGCCTGATTTAAAATGCTATGGGATAAACAGTGTAGAGCACAAAATACAAGAATTCTAAGTCTTCTCAGTGGTTGGTGACTCATAAAACCTCTGTTGGTGTCACCCACAGAGTTAGGAATCTTGCACATAAAAAAAAAGGAGCATTTAAACAGAGCAGCTTTTAAAACTGGGATAAAAGTGAAAGAGCCAGGGGCAGGAATGAAAAAGAAGGGGAACAGTTTAAAAGGATGAAAAGAGAAAGGAATAAGGAAGCAGAAAGGCAAAGGGCAGAACAGCATGGTCAGAGGATGAAGGAAAAGAGAAATAATTATAGGGAACAGGAAGTAATTGAGAAAGCAAGTCAAAGAGTACAGAGAACTTCTCAGGTGGTGAAAGGAGGCAATGAAAATACAAAACTAAGGGTGTCTTTGTATCAATACAGAAGAAGAAACTGGTCTTACCTGCATGAGATGGAAACTTCTTGACAGCATTGTCCAGGGCAGGAGAACTTGGGAGAAGCTGAGATGCAGGAGAAGGCAAGGGAGTCTGGCAGTGTGTCCCTTCTGTCATCAAGAAAAGGGGACTGGAGTCCTGGTTTCTGTGTCTCTAGTTTGTGTACGTTTCCACCTGAAGCGCACCCACACGCAAATGAGGGATCAGGCAGCTTTTCCTGCTAAGACCTTGAAAATCAGGAATCGGGCCAAAAAAAGAATTAAAAGGCAGGAAAATAAGCCAGTGCTGATTTTCCTTTTCTTTGTCTGTCTCATGATGCTTGAGCTGCAGGATTTGGCAATATTAATGAAGTAATGCAAATCGTATAATGTTTCTTAAAACCCTTGGTATCCATCTAATTCACATTTCATTCACATTTGTGTTGATGTTTTGCATACTTCCTTTCTGCCTTACAGTAAAAGCTTTAAGTTTAAGCAATATTTATGTGTCAGTGTGTCAAGAAAGAAAATATAGTTTCCCATATTCTTTTCAATGAGGCCCACAATATAAAAAGCCTTGAGCAAGAAACTCTATACTTTTAATAACGACTTAATCCTCTCAAAGTGCTTTAGAAGGCGGCAAGTGGAGATAATTTAACAAACTTTACGTATGTTCAGGAGCCAGCTAGCTAGAATGAAAGACAGAGAAGAAAGGCTTTGTGAGATCATTGCAATTTTGCTCCACCCAAGCAGAGAAGGGGACCTGGGGCTAACAGGGAGCTGTTCTGCACAACACTACAACATGCTGTAGTGTCCTTCTGCAGTGCTGTGGCTAACTGGGCTGTGGCACAGAGATACCTTCCAGCTGGCTTCAGTGATGGAAACTGGTTAGAGTGACCCTTCAGGTGCACCCCTACCTTGTTTCTTTGTCAGACTAAGTAGTCGAGGTGGCAGGCTTGGAAGGCTTAGCTGCAATCCTGGGTGAATGGCTTCTGATAAATAAGTTAATCCTTTCAGAACTGGTTTGGGTGTCTCAGCCTGGCATATCCCCAAACCGTATACACGAAAGGTTTTAATTCTGCCAAAAGCCATAGACCTGACTCAAAACCATGCCAACAAACTTGCTGTCAATATGTAGGTTGGGTGTAAGTGGAGGGGACAGTGTAGACCACTCACTTCTAGAATTTGTCCTCAGTTTTCATTAAGTTTCAGAATGTTATGTAAACTATTGCTTAAATTCACTTTTAATCAGTATCGCCTATTTGCCCTGTTTTTATTACTGTGAGCATGGTATATTAAAAATACTCATTTGGGATGCTAATACTTTTTAAACACAAGGTGTTTAATCACAAGTAGAGGCAAAGAGATGGAAAATAGTGAGAGAACTAATCTTGGAAAGTACAAAAAATATAATTAATTTAGCTTTAGCAGTTTGTTTTTATATCCAGGATTAATGGGTATGTGCCACAAATTGTTTTCTGTTTGTGCCTTGCTTTCATACACCAAAAACAGGGATACAGTATTTTCCTCTCTCATGATAAATCCATTACTGTGCATAGGAAATACGAGATATCATTGTGACAAATGCCATGAGAAACTAATTCTGGGTGCAGCATGGGTTTGGGAAGATTTGCACTAAATAGAGGAGTGTCCAGAAACTGTATAAGCAGGGCTAACAACTGCCTTTTCTGTTAACTTTCATCCAGCTCATGCACTAAATGAGGCAGGGATCCTGTGGAAAAAAATACTGAGCCCTCATGTAATTATAGACTGTGCACACAGTTAAAGACACATCCACACAAGTAGACAGAGCGGAAACTGTGCAAATACAAACTGATTTATTGCACCTCCTAGGATTTAAGTGCTTCACTTTGTAGAAAAGCTACATCCAAAAGCTTTTCCATGTGACATGGTCTGGAGCTGCTGTACAGAAGTCCTTCTAAAGGTCCATTAGTTTCCTCAGAGGTTGTTTTACTTGACAGAAAATATACACATCCAGAGATACACATACGTGTATGCACAAACATGTTTATGTTTATGCGTATAGCTGTCATGAAGTAATGTTGTGGTGAGAGGTAATATAATTCACACACAGTGAATCTAGGTTCCTCCACTGAGTTTCCTTCCCTCGCTAAAGCACTGATCTTCACAGCTGAGGTGGATTGTGCAACAACATCACACATAGAGGAGTTTTGTTACTACAGTGGGAGAAGTAGCCAAGGGATCTGCAATTATGTGGATCAGGAATATAAACCTCTTACACAGGAATGCACAGGAGATCAGCTGCATTCCTGCAGTCCAGAGCCTGTGCTAACAGCAGAGAAATGCTCTAAAGCTCCTGAATTAGAGAAGCCTTTATTGCACTCCCAGTTTTGGTTTTGCTTAGCTTGTTTACTGGTGCAGCATAGAGGTAAAACACAGATGAAAACATCTCTTTTCACCATAGCTGTGGTGTTCATGCTGAAGTCTAATTTTTATGTCAATATTTTGATGTTTTCACTGCTGAATGTTTTAGCAGGAGAAGCCAAATATTCCAGGATCACAGACCGAGTTTGGGGAGGGAAGAGTAACCAGAGAGAACAGTTTTCCTTTTTTTTCTTTATGTTCTTCAAAAGATAACAAAATAAATTACAGGTGAGAAGCCCTTAAAGTACTGACTTTATTAAACTGCCTAAGTATAGATTTTTCTGCCTGGAAGATTTTCTGCTTTCACTTTTTGGATAGTAATTACTGACAAAGAAATGCCGTATTGTAGTTATGCTGCCAATAAAGCCGGTTCTCATTCTGCTAGACACACAGTGATAATTTTCAGAAGTTACTGTTCAGCTGTTGTTCTACTTTGGCAGAAAATGGTGCACCCACATTTCTTGTCAAAAAGCACATTTTTATTCAGAAGAGAGAAAAAAAATGGATCCAGTTAACAAAGTTTGTAAAATAATGAAAAGAAAAAATATACAATACAGTAATTTTTCAGTGCGTAGTACCTTTTAAATACATTTAGACACCCTGTAACAACCACCTGATATTTGATCTGCTTAAACAATACACAGATTTTTAGCTTAAAGAATCTTATGATTATTTCTTTTTGTTATTTGATGTATCGTATGACAAATTCAGTCAATACATTCAGTAAGGAAACACAGTACCTACAGCACATCAAGGCTAAGAACATTAAAAGCTATTAAAAAATATATGACTGAAAAATCTCACAAAGAATAAAGTTCACTTCTTTTTCAGGGGTACAAAAGAGGTTTGTATTCTACTGAAGTCCTTTAGTACAAGATAGATAAATTATACTCAGAAGGGAAGTTTCTTTGTTGGTCTTAGTGCAACACGTGAAATTTACTATTAGTTAAAACTAAACCAAGACTGGGCATATATGCTAGAATTTGAAACAGAATCTTTTGCGACAACTAACTGTGTAAAACTAACAAGTGGTTGTGTATTTCTAAATGTCTGCCTTCCTTCTCAGTTCTTTGGTGTATCACTGCTTTGATGAGGATACCCTCTTGAATGCCCTTGAAAAATAAATAAACCACCAGCAGCAATATAGTCAAATAACCAAATGCGTTCATTTCACTCGGTATAATAAGGTAATTTTTAAAATTTGGGTGCTGGTGCTGATGTTTACAAAGAAAACTGGTATTTGTATGCCTGGATGCTGGTTTGAATAGCAAATACAGAACAGGAATCTCAAGTTTACATATAGATTTTCAGTGCATTATAAGTGATTTTAAATACAGTATAAAACAGCTTATAGGCTATTATCTCAACAGTTAATTTTAAGTTTGATATCCCCATAGCATTATACCTCCTTCAAGATTTACTGTATTTTGAACTGTCAGTAAAAGGCACTTGTGTAAGATGAAATCTCAGCACCACTGAAGACAAGACCAAAACTCACTGACTTCAACAGAGCCAAAAATGTTGTATTTATAAGCTAAACTTGCTGGTTTGCTACATTGCACTGGTTTGCACAGTGTGTTTTACTTCCCTTGAGGATTATAGGAGCCTTGATTATCAGGAGGAGTTGCTTACACTGATCCAGCCACTTTGGTTATTACAGGTTTTTTATTATCTTGCATTACAGAGAAAGCATCACACATTAAAAGTATACATTCCATTTTCTGTGCATGCTCACCCTCTTTACTGGGAGTTCACTGTAACTGTCTTTTGATTTCCAGAGAGTTTGGATATGTAAGTGCAAAGTGATATTTATTATTATGATTCATTGTTCATTTTACTTTCGTTTGCTACTTGCTCATTCAGAGAACACCATCACAATGATTCTTAGGGATAAATGTCATTTCTATACTCTCATTCAGCCAAGTCTAAAATACAGTACTTAGATGAAAAAGGTATTATCAAAACATATATTTAACCTCTAAGTTATTTCCAATCAATTTATCATCAGTTTATAGGTCCATTTTAGTGCCTAAGTTACTATAGTGGCAACAGCAACATATCTTCAAACTAAATAGGAACTAAATCTTGACCTAAATGTTCTGAATATATTTTGAGCAATGCTATACTATAATCTATAGCCTATACTATGCTGTTCTGTGGTTTATATCTCAGAGTGCTGTATGTAAGACAGATAGCATTGTTACTATTTTACTGTTAGTCAAAAAGTACTTACAGAATGGTCAAATGAACCTTAAGAGAATTATATTCTATCATTAGTACAACACAGAAAAAGCAACTTGAGCAGTGATGGTACATGGCTGTACATGTCAGTGTAGCTAACGCTACTGCAGTTGGAATGGCAGGTCAGCAATGTATTGTCTTCTCCGATGCCCACTTTTGATTTCCTGTTTTCACAACAGGATGTTATCACTAAAGGAAGCATTTCTTTTCAGGATACTGTCCTCCCCAGAGTGGGAGTCTCTGGTGTTTAATAGACCAGAATCAAAGTAAAACCTGTTCCCAGGGGTTATTGTCATCTGTATCCTTCATAGACCTGAACTAGCCTCTCTGGGTATAAGTAATTGAAGAAGTGTTTTTACATAGACTATCATAAATGTGGAAAGAAAGTGGAATATGGTAACTTTAACTTTAGCTCATATTCCCTGAATTTTGATTGCTCAGATAAATGGCAATTCAAATGTCACACAAAGCAAGGAATGCAAGAACCCTGAAATCCTAAAAAAATATTAATTGTACATTCGTAAGAGTGTAACTGAGTTAACTTGTAATCGGCTTTAGTGACTTCTCTTTTTTTCCCAATTAGCAACTCTGAAATAGATTTTGATCTTCAATGAACCTCTTGAATAAAATTCTGCCTCAGTCATTATCATAGATGCAATCTGAAATGGAAGTAAAATGCAAAAAATATTAGTATTATATTACTTCAACTCAAGAATAAAGTTATTTGGTGTAATTGAATACTGTTATTGTATTGTTTGAAATGTTCAACATACCATCACCAATATCATCGTAAATCTCTCCATCACTGTAAATTAAAAAAAGAAAAATAATGTGTGTAAAAAATTGAGACATCAGACCATAGAATCACAGAATGATTTGGGTTGATATTACTACTTGCATGCAGATACAAAATAGCATACCGGTATAGTGCAGACATGCTATGAAGTAATTAATTAGCTAATTAGGAAAGTGCAGTCTTCATGGTAACAGTACTGTGTTGAACAAGATGGTCATGTCAAAAGATTTTCAGTAGAGGGTAGAGTTCTATATATTTCTAACATGCCAGGCTTTTTTTCATTAAAAGTTTTTTTGATTGAGCTTTTAAGTAGCTATTCTAAAAAACTCAGAGATACTGCCATAAAACAATTAAATGCTTACTGATTTTTTTTTTTTAATGAAAACTAGAAAAGATGAGCAAAAAAATATCATTATGTCCTTGAAATTCTTATTTGTTTCTGTATTTCTCAATGCCATAATGGTTTTGGAGTAGCAGCTATTTAATTAATTAATTTAGGTAATGTTGATAAATGATACATGGTCTGTGAATTTTTACAGTATGTCACTTACATACATGAATAGGCCCATGGAAGCCAGTAAGGCTATTTATACATATAAGAAATGTGTGTATAAGTGTTTGCAGGCCTAAATTCTAAAAGTGACATCTGATTTGATGCTTAAGGGTCTAATATAAAGCCCATTGAAGGAAATGGACAGACTTTGTCTGGTGAGAGTTTTGAATTAGAATCTAAGTGCTGAACTCCATGCAATTATTCGGAGCAACACTGAGCCAAATCTGCTCAATCCCAATGAGACTGAAATAATATTAAACCTAAAAAAAATTGGTCCATGTTAGTTAAACAGTTGAAAATGGAACCAATACACTCAATCCCAGTAACTTAGTGTTCAGTAATAGATTCTAGTACTAATGATGTTTAATTTGTGTAATTTTTCATGATTTAAACCAGAGCTTATGGTTAAGCAATGAGGAATGGAGCCCTGGAAGATTTCCAACATGGATGTGTGTGACTAATTCTTGAAAAATCTAAACTCCATTAAAAGAAATTAATTTGCAGGACTAGAATGACATACTAAAATAACTACGTTTCACTTTTATTTAACAGTTTAGAACAAAATTGAGTGTTACAACAAATTTTTTCAAATAGATAACTTTGTACTTACTTCTGAACTAAATCACTCCTCAGAACATAGCCATCTGTAAAATTGAAATATATAAGTATTTAATTAAATATTCATGTTATTCTATTGCTAGCACTAGTGAAATACAGTTTTTCTCTTTTAGATGTTTCAGACAGAAAGACATAATAGGTGGATAATGACAAAAAATAGGTATATACTTGTATATACTCAAGTATATACTTGAGGAAAGTTATGCTATGTCCAATTTTAGTTTTAATCATTATTTGCTTGTTTAATACATCTATGCCTTAGATAGGGAATGAGAATACTACAGAAGCTCCAAAATCAGTTAGATGACTATTGTGCCAGGTACCTCACGTATTCATAAAATCTCGTTTTTCTTGTTTTGTTGCAGTAGTTTCCATTGTGTACAAATTTAGTGCTGAAAGGAGGAAATAGTAATACAATTTGTGTGAGATTAGGTTTTCATCTCATATTTTAGTTTCCTTGTTGCATGAGAGTGGTGTGAAATAATAGCCATTAACACAAAATAAAGTACAGTTCATGAATTATAGCACAAAAATGTGGTATAACAATAACCACATATTATTTATAATAATAAAACCCAGAAATATGTATATAGGACAAAATGTCTTTCAAGATGTATACACCAATTAACCATTAACTGTATTATATTGATAAGAGCTTTTTATATAGATAATGGAAATACCTTAGGAAAGCTGCTCACTAGTGAAATATTTTATTAGCCTGCTGCATTACTAATTAAATCAGATAAAACTGCATATATTCTTCAATATATCTAACATCTTGAAAAAAATGCTTGGCATCTTTGGTAAAAGATATCTACAGAAATATTTGTCAGTTGGTGTAACATGCAAGCAAACAGAAAGCTGCAACAGTAATTACATATTTATAGGTAAACATATACTGATACAAAAGTAGGACAATGCTAAAATGAGAAATATGATCTTGTGTTATATTTGAAATTATTATATAAATTTCCTTCTTTTATTCATTAGGAGGCTTACGTGGTCATACTAAAATGTCAGGTTTTTAGTAGTTCATACAATATTCATAGGTTTTAGAATAAATTTGTTAGTCTGACTTGTAAATTTCCTTTAATTCCTGGAGGCGATACTGCTCCATGTACTTAGAAGAACCATTATATAGTATAGCAAGTATCAGTTTTCTGGTAATATTTCTTGTGGCAATCCTTCAGGTCAGTCTACAGATCCTGGAGGAATTTTTCTTTTCTAATACACAAGACATAAAAGTCTCTTAAGTCTCTCTGTCTTTTTTTTTTTTTTCTTTTAATATAAATGCACAGTAATGTCCAGATAACCTCATATTTCATGTTAAGCCTTTTTCACATCTAAGCCCTAATTTTATTCTAACTGGAATTGCACTTTTGAAGATATTTACTAGTAGAAGAAACCTTCCCTTGCAAACTGGCGTCAGTCACAATGAGCTAGTACTGTTCCCAAAAGTTGTCATATTGGCAGAGTCTTTGAATTGCCAATGTGAAATGTCCTATGATTCCTGTACGGAATATTGAAAAAATTATCTGCCAAGACTAATATCTCCAATAGTCCTGCAAATTGTAATAAATAATTATTATATACTGCTTTTCTTCATAAAGAAATATTCGCATAATTCATTTTAACTTGGTGTATTTCCACCTTAAAATAGGTAATATCAGATAGTGCTATAAATCTCAAATGTAAGTAAGGGTGGGTTTTTTCCCCAGAATATGCTATATATAAAGTAGATTAGCAATTTGCTATGTGAAAGCTGTAATGCATTAAAGCCTTTTAAACCTCTGTCTTGTGCTAGACCTGAAGGTTGCCTAGAAAGACATTAATTCTATGTGATCATATTTTATCTGACACTTATCTGCACTACCTTCTGTTTAAGACTGGACACCTAGCCAGGATGAAGCTACAGATAAAGTGTTCTTCAAACAACTGGGACAAGTGTCATGATTGTTTGCCCTTGTTGTCGTGGGGGACCTCACCCTACCAGATGTCTGCTGGAAGTGGCACACAGCAGAGAAAAAACAATCCAGGAGGTTCTTGGAGAGTATGGAAGATAACTTCCTGACACAGCTGGTGACAGCCAACTAGGGGGGATGCCTGGCTAGACTTGTTCCAAACAGAGAAGTACTGGTGAGTACTTGGAGCCAACTTGGGCAAAGCAATCACAAACGGATTGAATTTTTGGTCCTTGGAGAAATCAGGAAGGTCAGCAAAATCTCTACCTTAGACTTCCAGAGGGCTGACTTCAGCCTATTTATGACACTGGTTGGCAGAATTCCTTGGGAAACATTACTGAAGGTCAAAGAGGTCCAGGAAGGCTGGACACTCTTCAAGAATGAAATCCTTAAGGTACAGGAGTGGCAGCGCCTATATGCCAAAAATAAAACTGCTGTGGAAGAGGCCAGCCTGGCTGAACAGAAGATATTGCTGGAACTCAGGGTAAAAAAGAGAATCTATTACCTGTGGAAGAATAACTGTCACTCCAGGAAAAATACAAGGATGTTGTTAGGCTGTGTAGAAAGGAAGTTCGAAAGGCAAAGACACAGATGGAACTAAATTTGGCCACTGCCATCAAAGATAATAAAAAGTGCTTTTTCAAAATATATTAACAATAAAAGAAGGGCCAAAGAGAGCCTCTATCTTCTGCTGGATACTGTGTGAAACCTAGTGATTGAGGATGAGGACAAGGCTGAGGTACTTAATACTGCCTTTGCCTCAGTCTTTAATAGTCACACAGCCATCCCCAGCATACTCGGTTCCCTGAACTGGATGACAGAGACAGGGAGCTGATTCAAGTGCCCATAATTCAGGAAGAAATGGTTAGCAACCTCCTGCTGCACTTAGACATACACAAGTTTATGGGGCCAGATGGGTTCCACCCAAAAGTGCTGGCAGAGGAGCTTGCTAAGCCACTCCTCATCATCTATCAGCAGTCCTGTTCTAGTGGGCAGGTCCCAGGGGATTGGAGGTTGGCCAAGATGACACCTCTCTACAAAAAGGGCAGGAAGGAACCCCAGAAACTACAGGCCTGTGAGCCTGAGCTCTGTGCCAGGGGAGGTCATGGAGCAGATAATCCTGAGTGAGGTCATAAAGCACGTGTAGGAAAACAGAGGGATCAGGCCCAGTCAGCATGGGTTCATGAAGGGCCACCTGATCTCCTTCTACAGTAAGGTGATGCCTGGTTGATGAGGGAAAGGCTGTGGACGTTGTGTATTTGGATTTAAGTAAAACACTTGACACTGTCTCCCACAGCATTCTCCTGGAGAAACTGGCTGCTCATGGCCTGGATAGGAGGATTCTTTGCTGGGTTGGAAACTGGATGGATGGCTGAGTCCGAAGAGTGGTGGTGAATGGTGTCACATCTAGTTGGCAGTCAGTCACTAGTGGTGTCCTTCAGGGCTCGGTGTTAGGCCCAGTGTTGTTTAACATGTTTAGTGATGTCCTAGATGAGGGCATCCAGTGCACCCTCAGTAAATGTGCAGATGACACCAAGATAGGTGAGAGGGTTGATCTGCTGGAGGATATGGAAGCTCTGCAGAGGGATCTGGACAGGCCAGATCAATGGGCTGTGAACAGTGGTATGAGGTTCAACAAGGCAAAGTTCTGTGTCCTGCATTTGGGTCACAATAACCCCATGCAATGATACAGGCTTGTGGCACAGTGGCTGGAAAGCTGCTCAGTAGAAAAGGACATGGGGGTGCTGACTGACAGAGCTCAACATGATCCAGCTTGTGCCCAGGCAGCCAAGAAAGCCAACAGCATCCTGGCCTGTAACAGCAATAGTGTGGCCAGCAGGGCCAGGGCAGTGATCATCCCCCTCTACTGGGCACTGGTGAGGCCACACCTCAAATTCTGTGTTCAGTTTTGCGCCCTTCACTACAAGAGAGACACTGAGGTACTGGAGCGGGTCCAGAGAAGAGCAACGCAGCTGGTGAAGGGTCTGGAGCACAAGAATTCATGTGCAATAAATTAACAAAAACATCTTTAATTGTTGATTTTCAGTCTATTTGACTTTCAGAAGGTAAAATCATATCTTTAAGATATGAGAAACTAGTGCAACTAGAGAAAATAACTGAAACCATCAGGCACTTAACTAAAGTAGGATTCAAACTTCACTAATGAATGTGAAAATTGACAAGAGATCTATTCAGAGGTTTCCAGGGAGGATATTTTTATTTGTTTTGCTCTTTTATGCATAGCAAAGCAGTCACTCTTGTCACTATTTGAAAAGCTTTGAAGACTGAGGGAAACAGCTGACATGAACTACTTTCTACTTTGTTATTAGCTTGATTCAAAAAATGCAGCAGTGAAAGCTGCACTTCAGGATGTGGCTACTAGTGTAGCCCATATTTTGAAAAACATATGTGTTGTCATGCAAGAAATTCTCCCTCACCCTGCAGGCCTGCCAAGAAGAAGACTATAATCCAGATTGTAACAGATGAGTACAAAGCAGGGAAAAATAGAAGGAAAGCGACTGTGTCTGAGAGGTATATAGCATTGGACAGTCATCTACATTGGTCAGAGGTAAAAAGTAAAGTGAGCAGAAAAATGCTTCTCCTTTGGATGCAGTCTTCCTACACAGTGAATTTTCATTAGGAGATTTGAAAAATAACAGAAATGCATTAATAAATTGAAACCAGTAGTAAATAGTCCAAACTTCTTCAAAAATGCAAAAAACTTCTGCCAGTGCAGGCCCCAGCCAAGGGTTTCGAAGAAATACTGGACGACCTTGTGCAGCTCCCCAGACAAGCAGGCATGCCTTGAACCAGCTAGGGGATGGAGGAAAGACTCCTAAGCACTTTCCCACACAGCCTTTTGGAAAGATTAAGCTTCCAAAGTAAGAATATTGTTACTGATGTTCCCTTGGCTGCAATCAATGGGCAAATGTTTCCCAGAGGTGCAGCAAGGATTTTACTTTTACTAGTTTCTGTGGGGTATTATAGCTACGCTCTTTTTGGCAAATAAAGACAGAAGCAACAAAATCATCTGCTAATATCAGCTGATGCAAAGCAGGATTTACATAACTACGTTGTACTTTTTCTCTCATTTGGTATCTGTTGGAATTTTGATTGCTTTAAGACAATCCTGTCTTAAAATAATAAAAATTACAAGAATTTGCCTCTTGTCAACCACCAGGCAAAGAAAAGGACAAATACTAGACTCTGCTTTAGTGTGGAAGGGTAGAGAAATTTTTTACGCAACTTGACTCAATCATTCTCTGATAATTTGATTTATACTACAGCTTTGTAATAAAACTTACATTTTCCTTCTCCATTCCTGCACAGGACCTTGGTATCATCTGTACTTTCTATAATTTCAAGAGACTCCCCTGGTTTAACTTGTAAGTCTTTAGATCCCCATCTTCTCTCGGGCAAATCCTGGACTGCTGTGGTGGAGTACATAACTTTAATTTCACCTTCAAACTGCAAAAGTAAAATACAGAGATGCTGATTAAAAATGATCAACATAAAGCTTATGATTGTGCATTTCTTAGACCAATATATTCCCACTTATTAGTTAATTTTTGAAAATAAGGCAAAAGATTGTTTAGGCTGTGTATTATGTGCCCATGCTTGCATTTGTACTTATAGATACTCAGATAACTAGTTTTACAAATACTAATACTTTACATTTGAAGGCAAAATAATTGATTACTGGCAAATAAAGAGATGCAAATTAGAGGAATCAATATAGATATTTTAGTATTTATATTTTATGTGAACAAAACTTACTTTGAACTTTTTTCTGAACTGTTTCTCTTCTCTTTCCGTATTTTTAAACTTTTGTGCATCTTTTTCATCTGATTTATATTTTACAAGCCTTGCTGATTTTGATGAACTAAAACAAGAGGTTACAAATAAAAACTAAATTAACAATACATCTGAGATATTAACAAACTTTTTGATAATTTTAGTGAAAATGCATTTGCCTTCAGGTGTGTTTCACATGTTTTTGCTGCTCTGCAAAACTAATACAGATAATGCAATGCAGATTTGGTTTCAAAAGAAATAAAAAGTTGGGGTTGTCTTAGTATTCTCTTTTAGTGAGTTCTGATGTTAATATATCTATCACATAAGTGAATATGGAAAATTATTTGACATTTCTAGCTGCTAGAGCAATAAGAACTTTAAATCTACCAAAAATAGTTTAGGTAGATTATACCCATCACTTTAGAATCTCTAGGCAAGGTGCAAATTTTGTGAAGCCTATACATCTTTGGATAATAGCCTGAATAACACGTCCCACTCTGGAGGAAGCTGGAACCTCGTGGCCTTTTGTACAGTAGCTCCGTTAGTTCTGTGCGCCCATAGAAGACCTTGATACACAAGGGGATCTGCATTGCATGATCCATTTCAAGTTCATTTGGTTTTTCCACATCCCCAATACTGTTGACTTATGCCAGTGAGCATGGAAGAGTTTCGTGCCCTAACTCCTGATGCCATACATGCAAGTTCAAAGTCTGACCCTACTTTTTGATACTTCCTGATCTCTTTAGGAGTTGCAGATGACAGTTTCACTGATAATGAATGTATGTCTGTGTGTGGACTAGCCTAGATTTAGCTTAGGAAGGCTATGTCTTTTCCTTTGTATACAGAATTCAAAGAGCTATCTCTGTTTTAATGCCTCCAGACTAGATTATTGTAGTGCATGCTTTAGCTCCACCTGAACGGAGTTAGTACAACAGACTGTGACATGTTGCAGTCATCTTCATAGATGCATCTCTACTCATAACACATCTGTGCTTCAGAGATGGCCATAACTTCCTGATACAGGGATAGAAGTTCTTCAAGCTGAACTTTACACTGCTATATGCATTTCATACCTATAACAGCACACTGTCTGCTTTTCTCTTAAAACATTGCAGCAGCTGAAATCAAGTACTTATCATATCAGTCCCCAAATTCTGATAGGAAAAGAACTACATGCAGAAAATCTACAGCAAAGTACTGTTAGGCCATGCATTCATTTCTCTCTTGTCCATCAATGACTAAATTTGTTGAAATTCAATGCATGCTTATTTTTTCTGTAGTCTAATTATTATTTCACTCTGAAATGGAAGCAGGGAATATTCCACTTCCATTGTCAACAGCAGAGTCATGAGAATAAAACTTAACAACGCCAAATAAAGCACGCATTAGTAGCAGTGTGCCTGTAGTAAATACTTTGAAAATGTTTTTCAGTGTATTACAGATTTCTAATCAGGGGAGAGATTTCCATTTTCTTTTGCTTGAGGTCAGGCAGAGGAGGAGAGAAGTCTGAAGAATCTACATCATCATAAACATCATTGTCTTCACAATCTGAAACAAAAGTTTGAAAAGAATGGAAAATCATTATGCAATCCTTGAGAAGTGAATACATTGTGTTACAATCTATGGCACTGTAACCATTTACTCTCTATAGTAACTGGGGCTTCTCTGTTTTGCACAATGTACTGTGAAAACATATACCAGCTAACCTTTTCAGAAGACTCTTTATTAATAATAACAGGTATTCACTGATATGTTAATCTTTTGATGCTGAGGCAAGTTTTAGCACATGTTGGCTAATTTAATAGCATTTAATCTTCATTTTAATGAGTCCATTTCCCACCGTATTGCATCAAAGTATAATTTTGGAGTTTGATTTTAACGTACACACAGGCACTTCTATGGCACTGTGGTCAATGCAGTGCTGCTTAGCAGTGCAAATAAGTGACATACATGTTAGGGTTTAGACCATCTTGCAATGCCAAAGCAGCGAAAAGAAATCTTACCCAAGAATATACTTTGAATCACATTCAACGTATTTGTAAAGAGGAAGCAATTGTTGAACTCATCAAACCAATGGCAAGAAGAATCACAGTGGAAAATAAAAGGTTTAGAACTCAGTTCTAGAAAAAGCCTCAAAAATTGTAAGAACTTGCTTTTCATTTCAAGGCTGAGCTGATATTTGCGAGTATAGATTCTCTCACAAAGACACTGTAAGTGATAAAAATAGCAACAAGCATCTCTTTTTACTTTTGAAGTCTTGCAGTAAGTACTTCTTTCCAAAGCTAGCTGTTCATACTAATGTCAAATAAAACAAAATAGTATAAATCTCACATAGAAAAATCTCAGCTTCTTAAAAAAATTCCATTAAATTGTTTTCCAGAGAGCTTGCAGTGTATATGTATCTCCTTGTCTGTAGACAAATCAGTCACAATATTTGAAATTTGTTTACTGGAACTGGCTAAGAAGTGGGAAATCCTATTTCCTTCCTTGAATGTATTTTTGTGACCAGCATAATACAGAGTAATGTATACAAAAGAAAAAAAAAAAAAAAGAAGATTGGGAATCAATATGGAGACTGAACAATAGGCTGTTAATTACCTTTTCCAAACTGTTTTGTTGAAGGAGGCATGCTGTAAAAAAAGGTTCTCATTAAGTATTTATATCAGATTAATAGGCTTTTGCATCATTTAAGTAATTTAAAAAACTTTCAACAACGGCTGCAAGTAATCTCCAGACATTTTGAAGCTCTTCTGACACCAGGAATACTCGTGGACTAAACAAATTTTTACCAATAAATCAAAGGAAAATGATTCATAACTGAATGAGAGAAGATAGCAACAAGCAGTTGCTTATCTAACCTATAGGCAAGATGGGTAAAAGACAATCTTTGCATTATTCGGTTGAACACAGTATTCTTAAAATTTGGATTATGGCACTAGGTTTGCCAGTTTGTCTCAGATACATTGTACTGGTGAGCAAAGTACATTTAAACTGAGGATGCAGAAAACTTACATCACCAGAGTGGCACAAAGATGATGCATTATTTTGGCACTCTTCACCAGAAAAAAAAAAAAAAGGCAATTTTAATTACCAGACTTATGCAACAAATGCAGCTTATTAAGCAAACAGCTATATTATAGAGGTGAAAAGAAAGGAGGTCAGTGGTTTTGCAGAAAAGTATCATCCTGAGCTGCAATTTCATACATGATTCATTAGGTTGCTGTAAGAACAGGTTAGTAGCATGTGATCAATTTTTTTTTAATTAGTTAATGTGCACTGTGATTTCCTGGCAGACTCTTACAACAAATTTCCATTATCTTCTGCCACATTGACTTTGGTTGGTTTTTCTCGTACACTTTTCTTTTTGTCATCTTTGACTTTTAGCCTCTTCAAGATTCCCCAGGACCAGATACCGTTCTTATCTTCATCCTGTGATACAGACCTTTGGAGTATGGATGCAATTATCACAATGTAAAATGTAACATTCTTTTTAAAAGGTCCAGTTTAAATTCTCCATTGATGCACATAATTCTCATTAATGGCAACGGTGCCTATACCACAAAGCGAGGACTCCTACCTAAATGCTAAACACTCAAATGCTGAACTATAAATATGTATGTTATCATTTGTAGATATTGAGATGTATTTGTAGGTTTGGATATTAATCTAGTGGCTTACTGTTTTCATGTTGTTACTCCAAAAGCTAGCATTCTACTTTGTTGATCTCATTTCAGAGCTATTCTGTCTAGTTGGGAATTCGTGGATTTTCATGACTGCAGCTGCTTTTGCTGACATATCAAAAATAATGACAAAACCACTCCAAAAGACCAAAGAGCCCTTTTCTTTGCTTCATGAACCCATACTGATATATATCCAGCAATATATATATTCCTGATCATTCTAATACTTGCTAATTATTATTCCTAATTTAAAAACACTAAAAACTGAAATGAAAACACTCTGCTAAAGAAGCAAAATGATACAAAAACATACCTGGTCACAGCATCTTCATCGTTAATCCCATCATAAATATCTTTATCAGAAGGAGGAGGTGAGAACATACCTTTAACAGATCAAACATGAATTAATGGATTATATTAAATGCTAATGAATAGGGTATTCATTACTGGCCTCTTTAGTATGTCAGATGTGTGTGCAACTTGTTCAGTATCCTTATAAATGGAACCTTTTTGTAAACCAGTATTTATTAAAACAGTGATTTAGACTTATGCCAGTTAGGAATGCCATTCACAGCATTTAAATGTGCTACTGCCAATCACAACAGCATAAATACTGGAAACAAATGCATTTACACTGTATTCCATGAAGTTCTAAATGGCTAATTTTGGCCCAGTCCTTATGATGACTGATGGTTTTTACCTTTCTGTGTGTGACTCGAGTGATGATGGAAGATGTCAGATGAACATTTTCAACAACTGACATCTTGTGCTCACCCACAAAAGAAAGAGGCAAATGCAATGTAAGCTCCCCATTTTGGTCTTTTTTTTTTTTTTTTTTTTTTGTCTTTGGACCTTTCAGCCCCACCTCCTTCAGTGCAGGGTTAGCTCATTTTCCGTGTCCAGTTCTAGCCTCTGGCCAGATTAATCACTGAAACCTGTACTTAGCTGGCAGCAACTTCATTCAGCACTGCCAGGGGATGCTTCTGCCATGACTCGTATCTAAACTCTATGCTGAGAAGATGAGCTGTGCTCTTGTGATCAACAGAGAATCCTCTGAAAATACATGTGCTACCAAAGGGGAAACTGTTTGAAGGTGCATTCTTGACAGTGTGAAACAGCTGCAGTCATACCAGTTAGGACTCCAGAGTATCAGTGAAACTGAAGTTCCATTTACTCTGTCAGCAAAATTCAGCTTTAATTGGCAGTATTACTGGCTATTTCAGAACTAAATTTCTCCTGCACAAAAGCTCTTGCTCGTGTTAATATTTTGCCAGTTATGTATGTGCCATTTTGTAGGATGATTTACCTTCACAAAAAGAAATTAGTTTTATCATCTTCTGGCATGCTTCTGATTCACAGTATCTTTATCAACCCAAGTTCCCATATGTGGAAAGAAAGTGAATTTAGCCTCTATACTTCCTTGTTTGTTGCCTGTTAGCTAATATTTAGCATGGTTATGGATAATTACTGTCTTATTTGGAAAGTGCAGATTTGAAGGTAAGCGGTATGCAGAAACCATTCCTCCTCAAAATTGTATGTAGAACTTACTTCCAGATCCACTTTGTCCAGCACTGTTACTGGAAAAGCAAGTGAGAGACATTTTAGAGAAAAACAGTCATCCTTTGGAAAATGAAAAACCCCTGATCACCCACCGCTTCTCAGCAATTTGGCTTTGGTACTCATCTACATTGCCAGTTGAGCACTACAGGTTCTGCACTGGAAGCTCAGGCATGCTTTTGTGTTCTATATGGGCAACAGCTAAATGTCCCAGTTCTTTTTTCTCTCTCTGTTTTCACCACATGCACACTAGTTTCTTACAGTCAAATGCTAGTTGCATTCTCACTAATGCTAAAGTAAAGGTGCCATCTAATTCCTAAGTAAACTAGCTCTTAGATGAGGAAAGATTAAGTAGGTTCAGGTAAAGTAGGAAAAAATACTGTTCTTTTTCTTGGAAATAATTATTTACAAATCAGAAAAGAGTATTATAAAATTTCATTCACAGTAAATCAAAGGAGAATGAGAGACAGTTAATGGTACCGTGTTTAGTTAATATAAAAGACAGTATTTTATAAGTAACTGTGAAGCAAATTCTCTATTTGCATAAATCAAAGCAGATATTTCAAGCTAATGAAGGTGTGCATTTTCATATGAGCAGAACATTTGGTCCTAATTGTTAGTAATTGTTAGCAACTGTTAGCAATTTCCAATAAAGTGTCATTTTCAAAGAAATGCAAATTGATGTCTACAGCTATAGCGATTTAATGTATTTAGAACATATTTTATATTCGTGTTGCTGTCTTCAAACTAAAGTACAAAATAGGACTTAGGATCATAAGATATTTCATGTTGGAAAGGATCTCAGGAACTCATGAAGTCAAACTTGATGGGGATAAAAATATAATTTGAACACTAGAGAGTGCATCCACATCATTTAGAATAATCCCTTATAAGGGGATTTTCTGGAGAGGAAATGTTAAACAAATCAACTTAATGCTCAACTAGCTTTCATTGGGTGATGCTTTACCTCTAACTCCATGTTTCTAACATTTTGAGGATTCCATATTAGCCCAGTATTCCAACCGTAATTAAAAAAACCTGGTAGCTACACAGTAGCTGGCATTATTTCTAGGTCAGAGCCTTTCTCAAACTTTTACATATTTTGTTGAACTCTTGTGCCAAGATATCCTAAAATACAACAGCCTTAGTAGTCACTAGGAATATTTTGGAATATTAACAATACTATTTGATCAATAGGCTTTTTTTAGGATGACATTCTTACAGTGCTTTCAAAACATGCTAATGTATGTCAAACCTTCCAACAACTCATGCTTGTGAACTGAACAGAATGCTATTCATCACTAGAGAAGATAAAAATGGCAAAATACATCTTAAAGGATTTCATGAGCCATTCATTCATCCTTCCAAGTTCCTTACACTGTTATTTTAGTGTATAACAGTGCAAATATTCTTGTTTGCTTTGGGATTCGATAAATTTTCTGAATTCCTTGCATTGAGGTAGTTAATTGTAATGTTTGCCATAGTGAAATTGGTTGACCAAAGATACTTCTGCAATGAAGTACCTAATGCTCAGTTTTTCCTAAAACCTGGAACAACTAAAGCAACACTTCTGGCTAGGTTACAATGCCATGAGACCAATGTGCAGGGAGGAAAACTGATACTGAGCAACCTGGGAAAATATCAGACACGAAACTATATTGGCTGCTGAAAGAATGCCAGCCTGAAGTCAGATCTGATTTGTAATCCTGCATTTTTTGCATTTTATTCTCTTTTGGACTGCTAGGCTATAGGTCCTCTCCCAACAGTATGGATTTCTCCTGAGTATCAACGGTTATAGATGCTGGATTCCAGAATCCATCCTTGGTCCTCTGACTATGTCAGTCTGAATAGCTGTTACATGTTTCTTATATAAATGGCTGTTCTTTGGTAACAAGAGTCTACTTTCCTGTTGTAAACCTTCCCCTCTTTAGGCTGACTGGGGTGAATCATTGGTTCATTTTCATTCATTCCTTATACATACTTGCTAATACTGTCCTGCTCTCCAACATCATCATACACTTCTTGGTCACTCTCTGGACATTTCACAGAAGCTCTGGTAGACTGTTGTTGCTTTCTTCTTAAAGAATCATAATCGATCTCCACCATGGTTGTTTTAATGTATCCATCTAAATAAATGAAAACGTGATTATGCAGAGGTAGTTTTGAAGCTCATGGTATAGGGATGTGTTTAACAGAAGGTTCAGAACCAGTGGTTGAATTGTTCTACATGATCTTTGAAAACTTTCAAAGAAGTGTCTCATTCCAAGTAGCCTCAGCTTGGGTCTGCATCTGTCTACACAAATACAAATCTCAGACCTGTCCCAGATCTACACCCAAACCGTCCTCAGCTGGTGTCAAGTTAACTTCACCTTTATTTGTTTCTCAGGTACAGCAGAAGAATATTCTGTGCAAATTCCAGGAATGACTGGGCAAGCTCCCTTTATCAGCTAACCTTGGTATCACTGCAGCATCATGGAGTGTTTTAGGCAGTCCATGACATAAAGATTCCGACAGGGCATTACGAGGGAGATGCACTTTGTTTGCACTGATTTTGCTTCACGCTGGTAGACATGCTGAAGCTGTATTTCTATCCTCTTATGCCTGGGTTTTTTGTAAAAAAATGTCTGGTTATATCCCTGGGTGGCATGGATCAGGAGAAACCTACAGCAAAGCAGTTGGCCTGGGATTGGGAACTCTGTCTATGTTAAGAGGACTTTTAGACAAGTGTACTGCCTGTATAGAAGGGAGCACAAATGGATTTTTCTGAATGTGAAAAAATGTTTCTGCATTTCCTGAAAATGGAAAATCCCTCCCCCCCCCCATTTCTGAGTAAACCCAGTTTTTACTGTGTTTCTCCCCAGATCTGTAACTTTTCTCTTATTTCAATGATCAAAACTGATTTTCCTCTGTTGTTTGGTCTTCTTCACAGACCATTACTGGCATCTGGTGAAACAAATTTGACTGTACCATTGACACTTGTCACTCCGAAGCCCTGTGCATCTTGTTTTTGCTGATGCAAGAATTGGTTTATGAAAAGTAAATTAATTAAAGATGTATTAATTAATTGACTGCACGTTCTCAAGACGATACCCTTCTTCTAGCCCTCACCAACATTTGTTTTGCTGTGTACAAAATGATCCATGCTAAAGACTTATTAATGAAACTTCAAAGTAGCACAGAAAAGCTGATATTGGAACTTGCCTCTTGAGATCATCTTGGCCAACCTCCCTGCCCAAGCAGGATCTGCTAAAGCAGGTTGCTCAGGACTCTGTCCCATCAGGTTTTGGAAATCTCCATGGATGGAGGCTCTACCACCTCTTTTGGCAACCTGCTCCCTTGCTTGGTCACCCTGACAGTAAAAGTGTTTCCTGATGTTCATGCAGAATTTCACAGGTTTCAGTCTATGCCTCTTGTGTCTATCAATTCTCTTGGGACAATAGAAAGATCCTGGCTCCATGTTCTTTATACCTTCCCATCAGATATTTATGAACAATTATAATATCCCCCTCTGAGCTTTCCCTTTACCAGGCTGAACAGTCCTGGCTTTCTTAGCATCTCTTTGTGTAAGACATGCTCCAGTTCCTTAATATTTTTTTACGTCCAGCACTACAAAGTACTCAGCTGGTATTGTTCAGCTCTACAGGTGTGAAGTGTCTTACTGAACTGACTATCGTTTTAGTCTCTTTAAAAAAGAAGCAAGTGCTTTAATAGTTTTCATTGATTTTATGGCTCAGTCTTTTAATGTCTTTGCTATAACCCAGAAGCCAGATCATAAACTCCTTATCATGCTCATAGGTCCACTGATGACGTTTATGCTATTAGAGACAGATCTTGGATTTCAGACAAAGTAAAATCTATAAATGAGTAAGGAATAGGAACAAGACAAACACTTCGAGCAGTGCTCCATATTCTCTGCTTCTATTTTAAGAACATCTATGATATTTTTTAATACTCCTTGGTGTAATGCTTACATGTTTGCTGTCTTACAGTAAAAACATTCAGGAACTCAGGGAAGAAACAGAACTCACAACATCCATTTATCCTCCCCAGCCACTTTCCTTCTGGGTTGTCATTGAGGCGAATTATTTCAATCTCATCCCCCTGTTTGACAGTCAGCTCGTTCTTCCCTCCCTTGTGGTCAGCACAAGCTCGTGCCTGATGAAGGACTTGGATGGGTCCTGTTAACTGCAGAGAAGAAGCAACAGAAGAAATTGTAGATGTGGAAAACCTATGTTATTTCCGAAACATTCAGACAAAAGAGAAAATAATTACAATAAAATCATAGAATCATAGAAGAGTTAGGGTTGGAAAGGACCTTAAGATCATCCAGTTCCAACCCCCCTGCCATGGGCAGGGACACCTCACATTAAACCATGTCACCCAAGGCTCTGTCCAACCTGGACTTGAACACCACCAGGGATGGAGCATTCACAACTTCCTTGGGCAACCCATTCTTGTGCCTCATCACCCTTACAGTAAAGAACTTCTTCCTTATATCCAATCTAAAATACTGATTACTTGCTTCATTAACATTTAAAATAGTCTAGGCAAATAAAGAGAAAGGCACGACTCCTGTCCCCAGCTACCCAGTTGAAATTAATAATCACGGATTAAAAGATAGGGATATGGCACAGCAGTAGGGCAGTTGAAGAAGTGACTGGCAAGATCACAGAAACACAAAGCCTAAACCCAACAAAGTAACCACCTATGGAGCCTTCTACGTGTTCACAAAATCTACACGTATTTCATTCCAGTGGGCAGCTCCATGTAGCTCCAGCAGAACTACTCCTAGAATCACAGAATTTTTCAGGTTGGAAAAGACCCTTAAGATCATTGAGTTTAAGTGTTAAACTAGCACTGACAGGTCCACCGCTAAACCACATTCTGAAGTGCCACATCTACATCCCTTTAAAGTACCCACAGAGATGGTGACTCCATCACTTCCCTGGACAGCCTGTTCCAGTACTAGACAACCCTTTCTGTGAAAATTTTTTCCAATATGAATCAACATATCAGTAGTAAATTAGGTAAGTCAGGAAAGAGTAGAGTTTTGTGAGGTCTTAAATAGCTTCCGTTTTCAGATAGAAAAGTAAAAGCTTCTGAAGAGCAAAAGAGTAAGGATTAACCAGAGCTAAGTAATCTCTGCAGCAGTGGTCTGAACTGGGACCTAAAAAAATAAAAAAATAAAAGAACTCACAAGCAAACAAAAAACCAACAATCAATCACTTGTTACTTGGGGCAAGAGTAGTTGTAGAGAGTGGTAAGTGATCCCCTCAGCTTCCACACTAAACACCCCCATTTCAGCCTCTTTGCCATTTTCTGGACCTGCTCCAGCACCTCAATGTCTCTTTAGTGAAGGGGTCAAACCACGATTTCAGGTGCAGCCTCACCACTGCCCAGTACAGGGGGGTGATCACTGCCCTGGCCCTGCTGCCACACTGTTGCTGATACAGATTGTATGAGTAAATGTGCATTAACATAAATATGCCTACCACATAATGTCCTGTGTTTACGATTCTGGTCTGTAAATGATCCTGCAAGTACTCACAAGAGATGATCACAATGTCTACTGGAATTCAGGATTCTCTTTGTGAAATCTTTAGTACATGTTATGAAGAAACCATTTTGGATTTAGTATCTGTGTCTTTAAGATATATGTGATTTTGCAGAGGCTAGTGGCCTTTGACAATTACAGACTAGCTCAGGCAGTGAAGAAATGTGAAAGAAAATATACATTAAAATGTATTTGTCTGCATTTAAGAATAACAACATACCTTAATGGCTGCAAGAGAGCAATCTGCAGTGCGCACGCATTCTGTGCACTAATGCCTTCATTCCTGTGGTGTGATTTGAAAAATAGACTTGGGGCCTGCCAAACACCACCTAACCCACTATTATTAACTATTACTATTTTCCTTCAGTATTTGCTCCTCAGCTCATGGCAGTCTCTCCACAGCAGACCAAGGCTATGATGTGAGAGAATCATCATGGTTTTACCGTGTACACAGAGAGTGTAATATGAAGAAAAACAAAGCTGCCCACTATGTACAACGATGCTGAAAGCAGTACAGTGCAGCACAGTGAACAGGCATTAGTCAACAGAGAATGACTGGCAGGTTTGTAGACTGTGGTAGCATGCGGCACCAGCTTTATGAAGATTATACAAACCAGAAAGAACCATCTCATCATGTAGCCCCTAGCTGGTCCCTTTAGACCAAGGAAAGGGTAATGTATTGTAGTATAATGTTGAAATCTCTTAAGGGCTGGACACAGTTGTATTTGACTCCAGCGAAGCAAAACCCATTAAGTATATGTGATCCAATTTCCACTTTTATTAAGGACTTTTGAAGATATTAGTGATGTAAATGCTTTTTAAACAGAAAAGTGAAAGGAAATGTTTTTAAGACATTTTTTACATAAAAAGAATGTGAGAAGGGAGTTTAATGAAAACAGTATAAGCACTGAAACTGACTTTGCCCTCAGTACAGATCCTGAACTCCAGCCTATGCCAAACATAAAAGGGTAACTTAAACCTTTATTCAGAATTCATCCAGGTTCTTGAACTACCTATCATAACAAATGGTTTGTTTCTAGCTGAAAAGTGTATTTTGAACTTGACAATGCTAAACAATGCTTCTTACATGTCTTTGGTTAGATTACAAAACAAAAAGCTTACTTTGAACTTCTTCCTTATTTCCTGCTCTTTCTTTTCTCTTTCCTTTTGTTCCTTCTTCTCTTGGTCCATTCTTCTCTTTTCTTCCTTGTCCCACTTCTTCTCTTTTTCTCTTGATGATCTGAAAGTTCATTGCCAGGATTGAACGTAAGTGTGAAACAAATCTCACTAAAGCCACCTTTTCCAAGGTTAACAAAGAACTATATGCAGTTGGAAAAAGACTGACATCAAGGCTACAGATTCCAAACCCTAGTCTGGATGCAACAGGTACAGTAAGCACCGCTTTATCTTATATTGTAAGTATAATTTAAAGTGGCTGTCCTTAAGAGGACAATATACCAGAGAAGTTTATCTGGAGGTAAAAAACTGGCTCTATGTGCATATTTAAACATTTCTGAGCTAATTTTAGAAATCAAGTTTGGAAACTGGTAGCTGTCTGGTTGCTGTGGCACTGACTGCAGCTGTTAAATGTTTACTCAGGCCATCAGTGGTTGATGCAGCCTGAAATAGAGCCTGAGCTACCACTGGACTGTGGTTATAAACCTAATTGCATTCTACATAAATTACAGTCAGTCTTCTGCACCACATCACAAATATACCTATCACACCAGGGTACATTGCCTTCTGTGCCTCAGGTACTGGATGGTACTGAGATCTAGGCCCTGGGATGTAATTAGGACTATAGCTACAGCTCTGCCATTTGGTGCCAATGGTTTCACTGGAAGAGCTGTGCTTTACAGACGCTATGGAAATGACTGAGTGTGGGTCCCTCCTCTTCCTTTTTTGGTACTTTAGCTAAACTAATATGCTTAAATTATATTAAAAAAAAGAAGACTGAAAAAGGATTACTTGCTTTGATTATGTAATTTTAAAATTATCTGTTTTCAGAGGGAACTAATAAGTTTTTGCTGAAAGTCATTCTACATCTTCAACAAAGAACTTTAGACTGTTACTAATTTGAGGGGAATTAGCTTTTCTTTGTTGTCCTACAGTGAATCCCATACATTTAGACATTAGCAGGACAAGAGACTTCTCAAAGGAAGGGACTAAATGGCAGAATAATAGGTCGAGTTCATATTCTGTCTCAGTACCTATGGTAGAGGACTCAGGCCGTGAGTAAATTGTAAATCCAGCCTTTCATATGAGTTCTAAGAACATTTATCAAGAATACAAGAAAAACAACCACAACAAAAGCTCTATCTGGGACAATAGGGGCTGAGCTTACTTTTCCTCCTAGGCTATAATTCCAAGCAGTGATTCAGATATGTTCATTAGATCAGAAATCAGACTTTTGTTACCTTGTTCATAGTAATCACATGATTTTATTGCAGCCCAGGGCATAGCAGATCTAAGTAGGAAAAAACCTGAGATCAACTGGACTTTCTCTAGGCAAAATGAATGAACGCAACAATGCCTGGCAGGGACTGCAGTGGGATCACTCTTTTGTGCCAGGTGAAATAACTTTGTTAGCAAGCTTTTAGTAACAAAGATACAATAGGTTCTAGAGTTTAAAATTACTACCTGATGTCATTTATGTCTTCATACATCTCACCATCACTTTCTTGGCCCTGTAAGAAAAATTCAGTTTTGAATGGAAAGACATGAGGAAACTGGACCTGCTATGTAAGCTTCATAAAAACTATATGAAAACATTTCCAGCAAAATGAAAATACAAACAAGTTTAACCATCCCAAACCAAGTTACTATATTATTCAAACCCACTATTCCTTTTTTTCTGCCTTAGTTTTTATTATACTGCATCTATGAAGTCCTGGTTATAATCATACTAGCACATTGTTTAATCCAAAGTGGATGTTTCAAGTGCAGTGTTAGTCCTGGAAAGCCTTTATCTGTGTTGATTATTGCACTGTCATGATGAAGGTACTAGGGTTAGCAGTAGTTAAACTGGAACAGTAGGGATCTACATGGGACTCAGATGAAGGTCTCAGAGACTGCTTTAGTCCTAATACATCTAATATATCTACTTAAAGGCACCAGTACAAACCTGTGCTGAACTGAAACAAGAGGTTTATTACTAGAATAAAACAATGTTGTGGTTTAAGCTGTTCTTGTTTCTGGAAAATTTTAGTGAAGCAAAATATTAGTGGAAATAGAACGGGTGATTTTGCTTTTTAAAAATCAATTTCTGGTGTCTAGCCAGCTTTCATAATTAGTTCCAGTTTTCTCCACTTAACCGGTTTTATTTCTGTACTTCACAATAAGTAAGTGTTTCTGCAACTGACTGTCAATATACTGGATTCATTCAGCAATTAGTTTTCTAATGTGCTGAAAGGATTTTACTAAATCTGTAAGTTTGTGCTAAAAGGATAGGTTTGTTATGGATGATAACACTTACCTCCTTTGTGTTTTGATGACCTATATGACAAAAAATGAAAACAGGGTATTTATTTTTTGATGTACAGAAAATAATTCATTCTAGCATTAACTATTTACAAATTGCTACTAATACCAGTGACATTAAGTAGAAATATGTGCAGGCTTCTGGCTTTTAATAGGGGTATGGATGCAAAAATCAGAGGGTTTTTTCAGTTTGCTTTTGTAATACACTGTAAACTAGAAATATCTACAAAACAGCATATTTCACCGTGTATTTTCAAAAGTGGAATTTTTTTTTAAAGATTCTTTAGTGACAATGACGAACTTACCTATGCTATTTGTTTACAAAATGCCTATTCATGCAAGAAAGTAGTTATTAAAAATCTCATAAATCCAAATAGACCTCAAAGAACTTGCTTGCACCAGGCCCACAGCTGAATATGGAGTATGGAGGCAAAGGCTCTTCTGCTAAGCCAGCCTCTACCCTGAGCTGCAGGAGAAGAAACTGAATTTCCTCCTTCCTCCTTACTCTGCCGGCAGTTAGGTGAGAAAAGAGCTTGGGCTCAGTTTCAGCTCCACAGCTTACATTGCTGTATGGCAGGGATGGCTAGCACACTAAATGATGCATACTGTGCCTGGCACAAACCAAGTCCTCCAGAGGAGAGATCAGAAGGCAGATTGAAATTCTTTGTGTCACAATCTGCTTCTCCGGCTGCTCCTGGTACAACACAGTGACTCACTGCCTTTTATTGAAGGCAGACCACAAAGAGACATTAAAAGCACAGTCAACAATTTTTTTTTTTTTTAATCAAGTATAAAACAATGCCTGTTTCACCAGAGTACGCAACTTCAGCTCTGGAAGAGCAGCATTCCTTTTGGTTCAGATTTGAAAACCTGGTAATTTATAGTCCCAGCATACTTCCAACTGAATAAAAGGGGGATATTTAAAGAAGTTCCTGAGAGTCTGTCATATTAATTATAGAACAGTTAGTGTTATAACTAACTTCAAGGATAAAACTGCAGAAACAGCATAATTAGTAACACAAGTCACTCACAAATACCATTTCCTTTTGCTTATCTTGTAAATACAGTATGCTTACAGCCTCTTACAGCTGCCATTAATTAAAATGTATGCATCTTACCCTGTGAAACAAATTCAACATCATCATAATTTTCTTCATTTTCTGGACTTCTGTAAATAGGTAAAAATGGACATGTGAAACCTATGAAGATTGCATTTTCAAGCATCATTGTTCTGGTGTTTTTTTCAGCTATTTTATACAATGGGTGTACAGGCTGTGGAGCCTTGTATGCTAATTAAGTACCCACAAGTTTCACTAATTGTTCTTCTTAACTGTAGCTCCCCAACCCCCCTGGGGACACCTAGATTCTGAATATAAAAGGAGAAAATGAGCCAAAGGCACTCTATGGAGAAGAACTTATCTATGCTATTTGTTTACAAATGAAAATTGTATGAAAAAATATAATAGGCAGATGGGCTGACAGAACGCAAAGAATCTTTTGGGCTTTTTAACCATCTTCACAGGTGCATGCTTCTTACACAATTCATAAGCAGAATGCCAGAGTTTTGCTTCTTGTTAAATATAGCTCTAAAATATGCTCCTTGACTTGCAGAGCTTAAAGTTGGAACAAGGGATAAGAGAAACAGTGGTATAAAGTTAGCCCAGGTAAAAGTCTCTGATGCTTTTAGATTTAAAAGTGATGTCAAACTGAGAGAAGCAAGAATTGAGAATGTAACTAATAATAATATCAGGGACTTTTAACTTTAAAATACCTTATGTTAGTTGAAAGAAAACTAGAGCTGACAGCCATCAACAAAGAAATGTAATCAAAGAAAGGACTTGAAAGCAGAATGTGATGTTTTAAAATTGGCCTGATGGAGAAAGCAACCAAGACAGAGGGGGGAAGGAATAGTGTCAGCATCCACGCACACATTTTCAGGAGAAGGGAGGCTCCAAAGGGCACACAGGAACAGGAGAGTGGAAGGACAATCTGTAAGTAAATTTTCCAGATTCCTGAAGACAAAGAGGGCACACTTGGATCCCAAGCACTTGGCAAGGAGGGTGTCTGGGGAGCTGCAGCAGGGGCTGCAGAGAGTGCTCCTGCTGCTGGATGGGGTATATGCTAATACACACCTGTCTAATGCCTAATATATTTTCCCTGTTGTCTGTTTCCTGCTATTTGCCATAACCACTGGCCAGAGAGAGGGTCATTATTCAGGATCAGCTTGTTTCTAGTCAGTTTTGACACTAGACTGAAGTGGGCTTAGCTCTTCATCAGAGAGGTTCCCATTTTGTATGCAGCTCTTTGAGGAAGGATGTAGAAAACAGCCCTATATGTGACAGAGGCTTTTCAGTGTTATCACAACAGGCCACAGCACAGCCCTTGGTACAGTTTCACAACCAGCACTGAGCTCAGTATCTCTGGCTTGCAAAGCTGTTTCCTGGGGTATCAGCCAATAGACCTGACCCTCCTGGTCCTCTTTCCCCAGAAAAAGTCAGGGGAAAGCTTTAGTTACTGATACAAATAATTTTCTACCAGTGTATGAAGCCCTTGAAATGTTCTGATGTAATGAACCTAGAGGGGTATCTGTTCCCTCCCTCCTCCCCTTACCAACAAGGCAGAAAAAAGTGCTTTTACAGATAAGACAATTTGGGGAAACAACTGAATAGATGGAGGGTTCAATCTAACCAAACCTAATTCCAAACAGTCCAGGGACAGGGTAGGACAAGGAAAGTGGTGTGGGAGCTCACTGCCACAGAAATCCGGGACACCTGCAACTTTAATCTGCTACTGCATGAACAACGTAATAGAAAAAGGTGAGAAAATACAGACCTTTGGGTTTAAGTTCACTTACATTGTTTCAAAGCTGGGCTTGATGTTTCTGGGAGGCAGGTTAGGAGCTGCTTGGGCCTGCAGAGATGGGTGAGAGGCTGATGGAGGAGATGGCAACTGCATAGCAGGGTGTGGTGGAGGTACAGGCAGGGAAAGTGCTGCTGAGGGAGGTACTATCGGTTTCAAACCTTCATTTCTAGGGTCTGAAAAAAAGGACAGTCTGAGTTTACCAAGCAAACAACTGAGGAAGGAGCGTCACTGTTTACATGAAGCATTAGGATGCAGTATCAGTACTGCACACACCCCAAAGCAAACACATTTTATTGAACTCACTTAGATATATTTGGTGCCTTATCTTGCCAGAGAGACTCTGCCTAGAAGAATGTATAGAAGGCCTTGAAAGCTTTTTTGCCAAGATATGAATAAGACACAAAAATATCAGTTCATCCACTATTTAAGCTGTCTTAAAACTGAATTATCACTTAATTCTACAAATTACTTGAAAAGATCAGCTGCAGATGAGCAGATCATCATGTGAGCACTGATGCAGTCTTGCTGGAGTTTACCTTGCTCAGATACAGAGTTTCAAGGGAAGGGATGATGGATGAAAAGATATTTTGGCACAGATTAAGAGGTATAATAGTCTCTGTACATCTTCAAATAAATTTGTAACCTAAGTTGTAAAAGGCTGGACTTAATTTCCTAGCAAGCCCATACCAGAAAAGTGGTAGTTTGAGAAGCTGCACAGAAGCTACACAAACAGATGCAGCCTAACAAACACGATGATGCAGTGCATCAGGCACAGATACCATAATACATGAGTGGGTTGGTATGTATGCATGTGTGCTGCACTGAATTCAGGCTCTGTGTACAACCATAGTAACCACTGCTTTGAAAGTTCACACTGAGAGAAGTTATTCAACACAACCAAATGATACCACTATTTGGATATGATGCCATGAGAACTAGTTTTCTTTCAAGTATCATGAGTGGATTTCAAGGTACTCAGAAAGAATTGTCCCTAGCTGTACAGAGGGAAGTCCAGCAAAATCTAAGAAGAGAGAAGAAGGAATAACAAAATTCACAGTTCAGTTAAACCAATTGAAACTGAAAAGAACCCCTTTTTTTTTTCTGGAGATTTTCTTCAAGTTCACACCTGTATAGTGGAAAAAAATCTCAAGAAAAATACACTTTCACTTCTGTTTTAGAAAAAAAGTGGTTTGAACACAGAACAGGGACAAATATGTAGTAATGCTTAATACCAAGACTGAAAGTTATAGAAACTACTGAAAGAGCTCTCTTTAGCTCTTTAGGAGTCTAAGAATCTGTTTTTGAGAGAAGTAGAAGGGGAATCAACAACTATTTGAAGGACATCTCATGCGTCACATGAAATCAAAGCGAAATTACAAAGCCTTGACCGTTTTTTCTGTTACCAAGAAAGAACTCAAAAAATTTTGGATATGCTGGGCTTTGGATACGCTTGGAGTAACCTGTCAACACGTGTGTCAGCAGCACTGCATTTGAAACCTTTTAAATTCCTCCATTACTTAAACAGCAGAATACTGAAAGTTCCAATGCTGATGATGACATTGGTGAATTCTTTGGTTCTTTTGTTAAGAAACAGTCATCTTGCAAAAGCAGACCCTTACAATTTAAGGTATGCCAAGATTAAAGTTGTATGGTATCACATATTTTTTTATTCACACATCTTTGAATAATTTTATTCAAAAGCATAATATAGAAGTCAAGTAAAATAATCCTTACACTTTGTAGGGGGGGGAGGCTACCACAGGGTTAATGTGTGCCAGTTGGAGAGAGTCCATAGGAGAAAGTGAGAAAGATTAGAGATCTAGAAAACATTGATTCGTAGATACATTGAACAAATTATGGTTGTTTAGGGGAATATGATAAGACTGAGGGAAAACAAAATTAATACCTAAGTCTCTGGCAAAGAAGAAAGGGAAATGTTTTTTCTTCATTTCTGTGACGGAGAAGGCAAGAAATTACGTGTTTAAAGGCCAGCAACGTTTGTTAGGTGTCACTTTCTAATACTGAAAGTGGAATTTCCATGGATTTAAGATTCATGTTGAAAAAGTAGAATAAACTTATGGCATGAATAAGTTCTAGTATAAATGTGGATGGGCACCAAACAGCTTCTTTATGCTTGAAGTTATGATATCTCCTGTTTCTTGTCATATATTTTAGAAGACATCACATATAAAATACTTGCCCTATATTGAGCCCAACAACTAGAGATCTACTAAAATACAATTTTGGCTAAAACTTGTGTTCCAGCAAGATGTCCCACTTGTTTGAAAATGAGAGAAGGAATATACCACTACAGAGTTTGGTTGAGTTCGGTCACTGTTAAAATTTGTATTTTACTGTTTCCCAAGATCATCAGGCTTCAGGTTCTATTAGTTTTATTTCTACCTTTGCTTACTAGATTTTGATAACTTTAAAGACCCAAAGCTTTTAGTCTCTTCCCAAAGCATTTCCTTACCCCCCCCCCCCCCCCATCTCCATCTAGCAATTAATTTGTAGCTATTTCTGTAATCTCTCCAACTTTGACAGCATTGTAGAAAATCTGGCACTGGAATTCCACACAGCATGCACTTGTCTGCCACATGCAGTGGTGAATATTACAAGCCATTCTTAATCTGGCCATATCTCTACTGATTGCATCTAGGGCATTTCAGTATTTTCTCCAGTTGTTATCCCTCCTCCTGTTTTGGAATTGCAGACACCTGAATATCAAACTAAGGCCCATTAGCAAAATCTTTTATTCAAAACCTTTGTAACTATATGAAGAATCCTTACAGGTAAATCTCTAAGAATTTAGGATTACAGGATGATAACAATTATGCATTAGACTTTCCTGTCACATCATTGTCCTTACTGATTTGTGGAGTTGTTCAGAAAATCTAGATTTGTTCCCAAGACATTACACAACTCTTTGCAGGTGTGGTTTACATTTCTTCATTCTACATGTGTACTTTGAGTAAAGACAAATTTTGTCTAAATGAGCTGAGATTACACATGATTTTCTCTTGTTATATCTGACTCTCTGAGGACTTTGTGTTCCCATTTAACTCTTCATAGTCTTTATTTACCAGCTATGATGTCTAATTGTTCTAAACCCCTGATAAAAATGAGTAACACTGGCAATCTAAGCATGTATCTGCAACTGAAGTCTTTCAAGCAGATTCTAATGAAAAAATAAGCCAGAAAGGTGTGTTCTGTTTAGTTTTATTTTTTCATTTGGCTTTGTTTTAAAGACGTGTTAGTTGGTATTAATTATATTGTCAAATTTCTATATTTTAACAGTTTTTTAACTGTTTCCCTAATACAGTGTTGTGTATATGTTTACATAAATACATTATGTCTTCATACACCATTATTTTATTGTAACTAATTTTTAGGATTAAGGTAAAAAGTCTGTCCAAGTCTCTGTGCATAATATTTCTTTCATCTGATGCCTCTTGGGAGCCAAATTCAGGCAATAGGAAACTGAGCCAGGAAAGGACATCACATGCATTTTAGATTAATTACTTATTTTTAAGTATAAGGGCTGAACAGGCTGTCCCTTTTAATTTATATACACTGCTGGAATCTAACAATAACTGAATGATCATCGTATTAACGTAAACAGTGCTTTTTATTTTTTAACTATCAGAACTGACTCTTCACTGCCTTTAGAGTTGTAATTGCCTACACTTATGACTGAGACTGATGTGGGTGTAAAATGCTTTAATTCTAGTACTGAAAATAATGGGATGAGTTACATTTAGTATGAAAGGTGACATTTAGTGTGAAAAAGCTCTTATAATCAGCCCCATGGAGCCAAAGATATCAAAATGTTTCAGTAGTGTTTTATTTCCCTTTTTAAGGGAGCATTTTATTCTGACTCCAGTTCCATCTTTTTGTGTACACTTGGTACACTAAGGACATGGAAAGGCTCTGTGTGGGTAGAGGAACTGAAGTCAGCTCTGGACGCTCAGAATGAGAAAACAAATTCAAACTACATTCTGGCTTCACATGTATCCAAAGCACTCTCATCACAGGAAACTGTGTTAAGGACCATCACTGTGTGGTAGCTTTGACCACTAACAAACAGCTCAGTGATCAGATAGCCTCTTCCTGCTTCTTGGGAATCTTAAGTTTTCTCACATGCTGTGCTGCACTGAAGAAACAGATGCAGAAACGGAAGCTCTTCACAAAGAAATGAAAGCTTATATGAAAAGGAACGAGTTCCTCAAAACCTCTGCAGCTGTATTGCAACTAAGATAAAGTTGCCAGAGTAACAGTCCATAGAAAGTACCAAACATCCCATTAAACTGCTGCTTGTCATATTAAACTTCTTTAATTGTGCTGGACATCAGCACTTACAGCAGAACTATGCACAGAACACTTCAAACACTTCTGTGCTCTTGGGGAACCTTTTCAAGCAACTTCCACACACGCAGTGAGCAAAGGTCATGTACATTATTAGAGAATGTTTATTTATCCAGAAGTTTAGGGCACTGAAGTTGGCTTGATGAAGAATTTGTGACTTTCACTCTTGCAGTCTTGGCTTGTGAAGAAAAAACACTGATACCTGTTTTGTAGCTGACATAATACCTAGAGAAACATCCCAACTGCCCTTCATATCCAGATATCCTGTATTCAACAACCTCAAGAGAAATCAACCTCCACATTAACAATACCCTAATACCTCTCTTGTGTGAACTCCAAGAGAAACTAGTTAAAACCCCAAAATAAGTCCAGGTGTTTTAAGCCATATACTTTACGTAGTCAGAAACAAGTTTGAGGACACAATGGGAAAAAGATCCATTCTCACCTTGCTAAAATCCTCAATTCTCTACTGAGATGCTGCATTAAGGGATTCTATAGGCACATTGCTAATAAAAGAAAGACTAGGGACAACGTAGGCCCTCTCTGGAAGCTATCAGAACTGGCTACCCTGGATTTGAAGAAGGCTGAGCTTCTTAATGACTTATTTGCCTCGGTCTTCACTGCCAAAAGCTCTGACCACACCAAACAAGTCTTGGAAAGCAGATTCAGGGACTGTGAGAATGAAGGCTTTAGGCCCACTGTAGGAGAGGATCTGGTTCAAGACCATCTTAAGAACCTGAACGTGCACAAGTACATGGAACCTGAAGAAATCCATCTGTGGGTCCTGAAGGAGCTGGTGAATGAAGTT